ATATTTTGGCGTTTATATATTTTTTTTTAATATTAAAAAAATATTTTAAGACTTCTACGTTTCAAACTTTGAGATGTTTTACATTTTTTTCAGTGATGAGAGTGTTTCTTTACCAAGCAGGCATGAGGTAAGTGCCTGAGTGGGTTAAGGAGCCCTCTCACCTCCACCTCATCTTGCCGAGGGTTTCAATTTGAGTCTGAGGGCCTGCCACATGTGTGTTGGACTTGATGGCCCAGATAAAACGGCCATTCTTTTGGGTGAGATTGTAACCAATTTCGGGCTGTTGCCTGTAGGTAAAGTGATAAGGTTGCTTACTTCGAGGCAAGGAGGAGTTGGGGGAAACAGGATCTGAAACCAGGAGCACACATGCTGGGAACCACATAATAATTCTTGAGAACAATGTAAGCGTCAATTGTGCATGGCCAATGTACGCACGAGTATGTGGGTAGTTTCTTTGGCCCTCAGGCCCTTTTCTCCTTTTCTCCGCCCCCGAGAGAGATTCAGACTTCTGCCCACATTTGAGTGCAGAATGTGCAGATCTTTAGACTCGGAGACCCAGAGACTCAGACATCAGGGGACAAAGACGACAACGTCGGCACATGCCACACGTCAAGTCAAGAAATTTAAATTAAAAACCTTTTTTGCATGAAATGTTTTTGTGTTTGCCTTTGCCTGCAAGCATGATGCATATGTTTCCACTAATTCTGGGGCTTTTTGAAGGCAAATGGATGAGCGGGATTGGGGTAAAAGTATTACATTGTACAGACAAGACTTGAGCAAAAGTTGGACACTGCTGTCTTAGTGGGGAATTATAACAGGGGATGGTGTGTTGGATTTTAATTGAAGGGTTTTTTGAGGTGATATATGTACTTAATATCCAGGTTGTGGTTATAAATATTAGGGTAATTGAATAGAGATGAATTATACACCGAAAAACTGCGATGAATGGAAGTTTAAATATAAAATTTGGAAAATTCTATGGTATTTTATGATAAATTTTAGAGATTATATAGAGTGAATTTTTCCATAGGTGGCGCCAATTTTAAGCAACTGCTTGATGTAAAGATTGCATATCTCCATCTCTCTTACACTCATTCAGCTGAGTAACGGGTATTTGATAGTCCAGGTACTTTATTTATATTTTTTCTTAGAATTTGTATAATATCGTCACGATAAGTCTAGCACCATCCATCTCCAATGATTCATAAATGGACTTCAGTTAGTCAGCAGAGGAAGTACAAAGCATAACCCCAAGTTCACCATGAGTGAGATCAATTAGACATCAGTAGATAGTGAGCTCACTCGGTTCATTTCCTCCGTTTGCAATTGTCTCCGAGTGTGATTAGTTCACTTTTATCAGCTCGAAACAAAAGCGAAAAAAAAAACCAGTCGTAAATTTCCGAGCTTCAGGGCTTTGTGCCTATAAAAGTAAATCAGTTTGAACTCTAGTTATACTTTTTCCTTGTATTTTTCTCTCACATATGCCAGAGTGGCAATTAATTTGTGTGTGCTTAATTCGACTAATTATTCCAGGCAATAAAATTTTCAATACACTCCAGCTCGGTGATGATGATGAGGCCCAGGCTCCCTTTTGTCCACACCTAAAATGGGAAAATTGTTTGTGCGGGGGGCAGAAGGACACGTTTAATTCAATTCGCAAAGGTTCCTTGACTCGACTTCTTTTTATTTATATTTTTTCTTCTTACAGCTCCTTGGCTTAGTGGGAGTAGAAAAAAGCGAAATAAAAAAACAAGAGCGACATTTAAATTCAAATCGCTGAAGACGCTGACAAAGAAGCGGCGCCACACGTCGGATTAATTTTATGTGCCCCAAGGAGAAAGCGTCTCTTCAGGACATTTTCTTCGCCCTCGCTTCAATTAGAAGTGGGAATGGCAGTGGAAAAGGACCTCGAGTCCTTTGCCATTTGCCATTGGCTGGCTGCAATGGTTAAAATCGAATTAAGCCACGGTGTCGCATACTTTTGATCTCCCCCGTCAGCCAATGAAATGTTGCACTCCTTCGCAACGAAATGTCCTTACATTGTCCTTGTGGCGCAAATGTAGGTATTTCCACCCGCCACATCCTCCTCCCTTTTCGCTTTTTGACTATTTCAATTTCGGTTTGGCTTGGCGCAAATGAAATTAAACGAAGATTAGTCGTGTGCTCGCTAGATTATTCCAAGAAATAAAAATCCAACTGAGAGATATAGCCGGGCGTTCATTATTTTTTCGTTTTGCTGGGCGGCTTTCGCGCTGGCTCTTATTTTTATTTGTATTTTCCATTCGCTGGCTGGCTGTGTTTTGTTTTTATGGCCCCTTGAGGTGATTTGCTCAAGTTCGCCGCCCCCATTTCGGGGAATGTCTCAGGGGTATAGGGGTTTATTTCAGGGAAAAGTAGTGGGGGTGTCACATTAGCGGAGAATGCTGAAATCTGGGCAAATCACAAGCTACATTTAACCCGCAAATGATGGCCGGCTTTGGCATCATCTGCTATTTATGAAAGAGTTCCTTGGGCCACCGATTTCTGGCTAATGAAGGGAAATTAGTCGGGGTCTTATGGGATTTTTAGGGGTATTTTTAACGCAAGATATATTTAAAATTTATAGCATATATTAAAAAAGATTCCAGTAAAAATTCAAATGTTTTTTTCTTTTATTTTTAGATTATTAGAGTTAAATATAATTACAATTTACAGCTTTATAATATGTAAACAATATTTGAACATTTATGAACTGGTGTTATTTGTGTTATAACTTATTTCCCTTTTTTTTTTGCAACTTGTTAATATGTAAATATATTAAAATTTTAGTTTTTATATTTAATACAAAACCACTTTTTTCTTATCCCATTTCAAGGGGTTATTTGAAACTCCTTTTTAAATACCCGTCGACAATCTCCCCCTCCATTTCTTCGCTCGTGTGTTCAATTAAAAAATGGTCACCATTAATTGCTAACCAATTTGCAGTCCAGTCGCTTCCTTGTCGGCGTCTCAAGTGTTCTGCACTGGATTTTCCCGATTTTCCCGACTTTCCTGCTGCCACTTTGATGGGCAGCAATCCATGTTGACATTTTTTGCATATTAATTGAAGACAAGGCCTCGTCTTTTTTCCCTTGGCCTGCGTAACCTCGTCCACCCTCGGCTTAATTTGCGGTAAGTTCATTAAGTAATAAAACAAAAATTTCATTTTTTTTGTTCTCCGACACCCTGTCGTCATCAAGTTCTTGATACTTTTCCCATTTTTTCTCGTTGCTGTTTTTGTTGTTCTCCTTTTTTTAATGCTTTGCATATTTCTTTAATGAATTAATTCTGTTTTGGTTTCGCTTTGGGTTTCTGTTGATTCACCGTTCACTGGACTTTGGAAAAAAAGGCACAAAGTCGCCGCGGCAATAAAACTGAAGAAACGCGGGGTAGAATATTTTGTATAATTTATGCGAAAAACATTAGGGAAAAATCGGGGCGGCGGGGGAAAACGCGTTTGTCGAGTGTTAATTATGCTCTGGCTTCAAAACTTTTCTATCAATTTTTCGGAAATATAAATTTCAGAGCGCAAAAACATGTTTTGCATATGAAAATGGAGATGTGGAAAGTTGAGTTGAAAAACAGGGAAAATGTTGCGCTTTCCTAGCCCGTTTTCCTCAGCGGCTAATTGCGTACTCCTGGGGTTTCCTCTATAAAACAAGAAAAATCGTATGCATTGAATTGCAATTGTCGAAGAACACTCGAAAAAAGTTGTTGTATATAAGTAACTAAAAAATAGTTAACACTATTAAATTGTATGTTAACTACTTATAATAAATAATAATAAAATACAAAATTGTTAAAAATTACATATTATATTTAGCGTTTTTTTTTATCTTTACAAAATAGGAATAAATAAATGAACAAATATTTTGTTCTTAAAATTTTTCTGCTTCTGTGTGTGCCACAAAGTTTATTGTTATAATTAAGGCATTAGAAAATGTTCTTTAAATAAAATTTGAAATTTTAAATATGCTTTTACCTGCTTTGCTTATTTTTCCCAGTGTACTTGGTGGCTGGGTTGGCTTGGGGGTGTCAGGTTGTCAATCGCGTCGCCTGTTGTTTGTTGTCTCTGATTGTTGACATGCCTTCCCGCAAATGAGCCGTGCAATTGTCGGGCTGCCTCCTATTGACAGCTCGCAGTTCGATAGTCAAAATGCACATATATGTATAGTATATCTCGGGACCTCTTCCCTGGACCCGCGGGATTCGTCTCGAGTTTCAGCTTCATCTTTGGCTTCCCCGACTGACTGACAACTGTCGTTTGCCATCTCTGGGTTCCCGACACTGAAAAGTGTGACGATTTATTTGGCATATGGCGTTCTTCCGCCAATGAAATCAATTCGTTTTGTCCCCGGGCAGATGCCTTAGATCTGCGACACGGGTATTGACAATCTCAACTGGACATCATTTGTCTTGGATGATCTCCCCACTCTATTTTTGGCTCAAATTCCTGGCTAGTGCTTGTCAGCGGTATTAAATGAGTCTCTATAATGGACTCGCTCCCTATAATATAACAATTAATTATGCTCGATTTTCCCTGTCGCTGGCTTGACTGCTTGGTGATAAGATTTAGCTCCCTGTCTGTTGATAAGAACTATTTTAGTATTTGGAAAATTCATAAATATGTAGGTGTCTACTCTGGCTTTTCGGGTTGAAGCGACCTTTAATTAACTTCAAGTATACGTAGGCTATCTAACAACAAAATAGTTAACTTAAAAAAACTTTCTTAACTAAAAGCTAATTTATTATTTTATATTATTTTATTTCCTATTAAATGATAATTAATTTACGAATTAATAAAGTCTTTTACGAGGCCAAAAATCAGTTTAAAATACTTATATAATTAAATATAAATTAATATATGAATTTAAACTATTTTATTAAAATGATATGCTCATTTTTGTAGAGTAGATCTCTCCTATATTTATATTCCAATCGATTCATAGTCCGTAATCGTAGCTAGTTCGTGCATTCCGAGTTCGACTTCCAATCCACCATGTTGCGTTTGCTGCTGACTTTCGCCTTTTGCCTGATTTTGTCTTCGATCTCCTCCGCGGAGTATGTGAACTTCCAGCCTTGTGATGATAGCGTGGACACCTGCACCATTCACCAGGTGAATGTGGATCCCTGTCCGGAGGCCAAGGTCAATGCCGCCTGCCACATCCGTCGGCGGCACAGATTCACGATGAGCTTCGACTTCACGCCCCATTTCGATGCGGATACCTTGGACGCCAGTTTGGGTTGGGCCAAGTCGGAGAACGTAGAACTGCCCCTGCTGACCATGGACAGAGAGGCCTGCGCCTACACCAACTGTCCAGTGAGATCCGGAGTTAAGCAGACCTATACCAACAATATGCCAGCCGATGCCAGGTTCCCGCTGAGCCCCTATACCATCCGTTGGGCCCTCAAGGATCCGGTCTCCGGGAAACGATGCTGCTTCACCATCGACATCAAGGTAGTGCGTTAAGGGGATTTTTGGATTTCTTTTATTTAGTTTACAAAATATATTTTTTTGTTATATGTAAATCAGCGAAATATATATAAAAAGAACTGAAATACATTATACTTTTTTTAAAGTATGTAACACTGAATTAAATTATATAAAACGGTAATGGACTTTCTCCCATTTCACCTTGAAGCTGTCAGTTTGGAGAAAAAGAACAAAGGAATGCTGCTGATAAGAAAGACATTTTGAATTTTTAAATGACTTACTAAGTAGAGTATACCTTTTGAATAAGAAGGGTAAGTAAAGTCAAAAAAAATTATTTTTTTAATCTAGTAAATCAGGCGATTTATAAAATATATTTAAAAGTCAGATTGGAAATTAATTGACTGTTTGAAAGGTTTTCTAAATAACATCCTCAAGAATTGAAAATGATGTTTTCAAGTGACTTCTAAGAGATTTTTGTACCGTTTCTGTTTTTGATCATTGGTTTTTCAAATGTTATAAGCAGTCTGTAGTACTTTTCATCGCACCCTAACACTCTAAGTACATTGCGATAAGAAGCTCCAATCTAATCACTTGTGAGACACGCTTGTGGCTTTCGTTTCGTGAGTGTGTTGGAACACAGATGTGACCCTGTTCAGGGGATCAAACGGGTCCGGAGATAAGCCCCCAGTTTTTGATTCCAAGTCCATAGACGTAGTGCCTGCATTCCGAGTCCGACTTTCGATCCACCATGTTGCGTTTGAGCTCGCTGCTGCCCGTCGCCTTTGTCCTGGCTCTGGGATCCGCCTCCGCCGAGGTGATCAACTTCCAGACCTGTGCGGATAGTGTGGACACCTGTACGATCCAGCAGGTGCGAGTCTCCCCCTGTCCGGAAGCAGTCAACAATGCAGCCTGCCACATTCGCCGCCGACGCAGCAGCGAGATGAGCTTCGATTTTACGCCCAATTTTGATGCGGATACCTTGGAGGCCAGCTTGGGTTGGGCCAAGTCGGAGACGGTGGAGCTGCCCCTGCTGACCATGGATCGCGAGGCCTGCAAGTACACCAGCTGCCCCGTGAGATCGGGAGTCACGCAGACCTACACCACCGAGGTGCCCATCGAGGCGAAGTTCCCGCTGAGTCCCTACACCATCCGTTGGGCCCTCAAGGATCCTGTCTCCGGCAAGCGATGCTGCTTCACCATTGACATCAAGGTGGTGCGATGAAAAGGTTTTGTAAAATTCGATGGGTCTGAAGGACTTTCTTTAACATCTATTTGAAAATACTTGTTCGGTTACTTCTTGGCATTTTTCTAAAATGTTCACGAAATTTTCGAAAAATAAATTAAATAAGCTATTAAATGTTGTTTTTCCTTTCTGTACATTTTTATAATTTTATTTAAATAAAGAATATATTTCAAATATTTTTTTCAAAACTAAAAAAAAATATATTCATTCAAAAAAATTTAAATAAAATTATAGTAAAATTAAATTTTTAGTTTTTAAATATTTAATTTTAAAATAAAATATTTTAATTGAAAGATTAAAGACAAATCAACTCTTAATAATATTTATTTCCTGTGTTTTCACTGCTCTCCTGATTACGGTGAATACATTTATTTTCTGTTAACGATTTAGTGCGTTTTTTAATTACTTGCGTGCCGGGTTACGACCCACTGGGGATACGGCCTCAAGGAATAAAGATACTTACTCCAATAATCATCAACCTGCTGGCGACTAATTTAAAAACCCCAAGGCCCCGCGGGCAGCAGAAAGAGAAAATGTATAAAACTTTGATTGAACTTTTGGGTGCCATTAAAAAGTCGCCCCGCCCTCGTCAGCTTTTCTCCACGGGTCTTATCAGCGTCGTCAAACAATTAAAAATTGAGCACTTAAGTTGTGGTCATAAAATCATTTGTTTTTCTCTTATTTTCTTCTCATTTTTTTCCAACGTTTTATTGTTTTTCTGTTCACATTTTTCGGTGGTGGAAAATTCAAATAGAAAATCACTTTTTCTACTCAGGGTTTTCTTTTAGAGGATGCGGGTGTATTGTTGTGGTTGAGATTTGTTTACGTGGGTTTTGAGATAATATAGAAAATATAAAATTATATATAGAGAAAGCTGACAGAAAATATGTAATTAAAATGCATAGGATTAATTTAAATATTATTTTATTATTAACTAATTATCTAATTAATTTAAATAAAATTCGTTAAAAATGCATTTACACTCCTTCCATTTTTTCCTCTTTATTCAAATATTTATTTAATGGGTATCTTTTTGTCTATATCTGTTGACCACATCCTTCCCACTTAAGTTTCTCTTTCGTTTATTGTTTACCTAAACGAAAACGTAGCTGTATTTTCTGGGTGGATGGGGAATTGCTCAGAAGTCTGATAGGCCTGACCCCAAAAAAAAAACGAAACCAAGGCAATAATAACACAAACAACGACAGACACTTGAGCAAATAATAATAATAATAAAGAGAATAATCAGGGAAAGGACTTCACTTCAACACATTGTTACTCAATTTAGATGCAGAGTGGCCGGGAATCAAATTCAAATTTTGGCATTGGCCTCGCCGTATTTTTTACCCAAAACATAGGGAGTTTTGGTGAGTTGCGAGATGATTTCGCATTTGACTTGCTCGAAACACGGCGAGGCATCTACATAGACGACTTCTCTTCGCTGGCTGAGATAGGAATTTAAAGCAGGTTCGCTTTTCCTAAACTGAGCCATCTGACGATCCAGAAAACTAATGTGTGCCTGAGGCCCCGGCGAATAGCTATTCAACAAGATTCGCATGCGAGACATGCGCTCATCGATTTGCAGGAACACAAATCGATTTGGTGGCACGGTGAAGCCTTCGAAGAGTTCCTCAGCTTCACATTTATTGTTCGGGTAATTGATCAGTATCCAACCCCTGTGAAGGGCATCCTCCCTGAGCAGTCGCTGCTGAATGAGATTTCCCACCGCCTGGGACCTTTTGTAAACACAATCCTTTTCAATGGCCTCTTGAAGTAACTTGGAGTACTCATCCTGATCGCGACTATTTATGCTATGATAGGCCAGGACATTAGCATCTAGTATAAGCAAGTCCCAACGTTGAGCTAAAACGTGTGCCAAGGACCTTCGACCAGATCCTGGCTTGCCATGAAGAACTATTCGGTGGTAAAAGTTTGCGGGCAGCTGGTAGAAATCCCCCTTTACTCCACGATGAAAGGCATCCAGCGATTGCGTGTATATCTCCACGCCGATCCGCCTTATATTCTCGCCCATCCATCGCCGGATATCTGTGACTCCATCCGCAACCGAAATCTCTGCTAGAATTCGACTCATTACCTCCATTAGCATGTGCTTTTCTATATAGTACATAAAGGCGGCACTGTACTCTATCAGCATGGATCGATCGAAATTGGTCGGCAAAGACATGTCGCTATCTTGGCTTTATAGGCTGGTGGTTTTAAAAAACTTTGTGAACTTCACAATAATGCTTAGAAAATAAATGAATTGTCTATGAATGCCAACTCGATAAATGGCATTTTTATAGGTTTTTTTTTACAAATATTTTAGATTTTTTTTGGCGATTTTTATATATATTTCAAATACATGTTAGGTCTCTAAAATAAATAGGACTTTGATTCTTTTATTAAAATGTCTATAAATAAGAAGCGAAACAGGAAGACATCTTTTAAAATAAACATTTTGTAATTATTTATTCGAAATAATTTGTTGCATACTTTTAAACACCTTCTGAAGGGATTTTAAAATTTATAGTATAAATTTTATACATTTTTTCCCTTACTTTCTTTTAGGGTTACTTAATATCCTGTCTCAGCACATCCCACTCTTCACCATTTCTTTTACTTTTCCAACTCATAACGAGAACTTAATAGAGAGCATTACCATTAAGACGACTGTTGCTAGGATTTCTCGCATTGTTATGATCAAATTAATTGTTTCCGTTACAATATTAGAAAATGGCGCGTACTTCCGGGCAGATGGAGAGGATTTGGATGGAAACCCCATATAATGGCCAACTAATGTCTTGCCAGAAAACGGAGCCAAGAAATGCCAGGCCAAGGCAAATTGGCCTCATATATGGTGAGAGTGCAGCTAGCTGGGTGACAATATTTTGCAGCGAATTATGACAGCTCCTTTGTCTTTTCCATAAGATCCCACCCCCTCACAAGCAACATTAACAATTTAAAAAGCCGGGACTGCTAACGGTCTGCAAAGTGTTGCCAAAATGTCTGTCATACTTTATGTTGTCTTATGAGATGCCCATGTCCTGGCCAAGAAAATGCTAAGAATCCTTATAAGGATGCCATGAATGCTTTCTCGGTGGGTGGATGCACAAAAAAAAAACTCACAGAAAATCGTATTGATATGCGCTGGTCAATTTTATATTTTTTAAAGATCATATAATTTTGATATGAATAAATATCATGTTTATCTTATTTTACATTAGATGTTAAAAATACTACATTTTGTATGTTAAAATTTAACAGTTAAATGATATGATAAAATATCATTTTGATATGATTGCATCAAAAATTTCACATAAATCAGATCAATAAGGTAGAATTGACCCTATTTTATATAGGATTTTTTCCGTGTAGATGTGGATATGTGCTTGTGCATGTGGATGTTTTGAGTGGGCTAATAAAAACTAGCATGCGATGAGAAATTGCTTCCTGCTTGCAAGTCCTTCGCAGGACACTCTCCATATTGTTATGTCAAATATGCTGTTAATATCTTGCCCACACTAATATCGCATCCTTTGCTCTTGGGTTTATCTTGGAGTTTCTTGTCTTCTGTTTTCTTTTTTCTCCACCAGCTGGTCAGGAGAAAAATTATGATGATGATAGAGACACGCCTTCGAAATGCATTCGGGAACGGATTATAATTATATAAAAAAATTAAAAATCAAAATATGAATTTGAATGTGGAGTGCTTTCGGCTGTTTGCCGCTGCCACAAAGAGCGAAAACTTTTTAATTAAACTCAAAGCAAAGCAAAAGCAAAAGCGACAGCGATAACAGAGCGACAGCCCCTCATCTCAGTGCTCCAAATTACATTTCGTCATAATGGCCAGCGTCCACACACTCATAACATATAATATATATACGTATGCTGCATATATCCCCCGATACGGGTCCCTCTCCATTCTGTTTTAATCGCCAAAATTGTGGCACAAGCCGCCGCCGCCGACGTTTGACGCATTTCACAGCTATCACAGAAGAACTCGCGGATCGAGTCACGCAAATGGGAGACAAGATGGCGCCCTAGAATCGCCATTTTCCAATCGCAAAACCGAATGGCAAAATTCTCTTGAAACTAGCTGTTGTAAAGCTAAAAAGGGTTCTATTTGGTAAACATTTTTTGGATAAAGTCTAAAAAAAAACACAAGTACTTTTTTTTAACTGTACCATGTTTTATATATCCTTATAATTGATTGCTAATTTTATGTATTGATACTGAAAAAAAGGTATTAATGCCAACAAATTATTTTATATTATTTCAAAAATGTCAGTCAAAAGTAGTAAAAATATGGAAATATTCTAAGCTTTTATCAAGAACAAAATAGTGTCTCGTGAAAATAAACTCAAAAATATTACAAGTTATATTTAAATATAAATACTTTTGTTTTAATTTTTAATTACAAGGGTACTTAAATAAACTGTAATTCTCGTTGTGGTTCTGTAAAAAACTACGCAACTGTTGAATGCATATATTAAACTCCGATTGCCGGAACAATGTAAAACGGGCACACGCAAAAAAAAACAAAGTCCAGGGCTTTGAGGAGCTACACCAAAGAAAATAAGTTATAGAGCCGACCAACCTCATAATCCCATTGGCAACCGTTTAAAACCGAGTCGCAATTTGAATTGATAAGAAAAGTGACGTTCGGTGCTTGGCACGGCTGTCGAATAGGAGAAACCCCGTAGAGCCGTGCACTCAGAAAACAGCTCTACCGGAAATAATAAATGATTACAAAAATGATTTTACATTTTGGGCAAACAAAAGAAAACATTTTTTAAAGGTACATGAATCATGAAGCATTTTTAATGATAACAAGTCGGTTTGGAGACTGGAAATAAATTTTGGAAAATATATTTTCTGAAGATTAAAATGGAGGGTAATAAAAATATATTTTTTTGTAAGTTTTTTAAATGTCTAAAGCTTTTCTTAGAGTGTGCTTGCACTGCTAGCTGAAGATTGTCGGCTCTTTTTAAGTTTGCCGCCCGCCATCTGAGGAGCGTTTCGAATTAATCGTAGTTTTGCTTCATCTTAAATGCACTGTTTTTATCGCGACTGTCGGGCTGCGGACCTTATCGACTGACTTCCTTTAAGAGGCCCCTGCTCCAAAGGGCCGGAAGTAATGAGCGCCGTGTGTCGTCGCCGACTTTGGCTTATCAATTTCACAATTGCACAGGGCTTTATCTTTAGCCAGCATGAAAAAGCCCTGAAAATGAGAAAGAGTTTCACTGATTTTCACCCTTTTTTCCCCGGTTTTTTCTCCAACCACAGAAACCCTCAACACTCAACGCCCAACAATTAAAAATCATTTTTCATCTGCCGTTCACACAATTGCTAGTCAACTTTCCATTTTCCCCCCAGAGGACACAAACCTATGGCAAGCACAAAAAATATACAAAAAAGTGGCAAACAAAGCCACACATCAACAGGCTGGAAAAATGAAGAGTCGGGGTTTTTGGTTCATGGACCACTTTGTCATGCCGACAATTTGCTGCCAATATTTTGCCAATTTTTTTCCGAAGCGAATTTCTCCGCTGGTTTGCCTTCAATTATGCAGCAATTGAAAAATTACTACGTGTACAACAATTTCGGTTTCAGTTCGGTTTTTTTTCTGTGAGTAAGGGGAAAAAGGGTTTTATTTTTAGGCTGGCAGACAACAGGTTTTAAATTTGTCACCGCAACGACAAACATGACAAACGCCAAATGAAGCGCAAATTTAATTACGCAATTTTATTGGATTAACAGGCGCAACCTGAAATGTGGATAAAAACAAATTTAAATATGCCGCGCACATGTGTTCGCCGTAGCTCCACCCATTCCACCGCCTTCTTTGGTCCACCCCAACGGGAGATTTTTGGTCCGGTCAAAAACCGTCTAGTCGCGTAGGTGAGTCGTAAATTTACGCGCCATTGTTGGCAGATTTGGAGCCCCGACTCCCTGGAAAACCTTAACCCCTTGTTGACGCCAATGTTGGCACGTGTGTGTGCGTGGGTGCATGTGTGTGTTATCTTCCTTTTTTGGCCTTTTCACTTATGCAAACGGAACATTTGAAAAATATGTTGGCAGGATAAACAGCAGGGCCACAAAGTGCAGCTGATGCCCCCAGACGAACTGGGAACTGGCCTCTCCAGACTGCCTTTCTGCCCGCCGCCCTGACATTTTAATGAGCATGCAACGCTGCAACGTGCTGCTTCTGCCACTTTTTGTACAGAGAAAACAAAATATATGCATAAATAACTGCACTTTCAAAGATCCCACACGAGCTACTATTTTTAAAATCACTTTTAAAGGTGTCCAAAAGTATGCAACACTTACTTTAATTTTAATATCATGTTTTACTGCATCAAAAACAAAAAAAAGTCTGAAAATATTTAGTTTTTTTTTTAATGTTTTTTAATTTTGTATATACAACATGTTGTTTATTTATAATAAAGGGTGGTCTGAAATAATGTATTTTAAATTAAAATGCTTTCAGAGGGCTTTTTAAAATATGAATTATAGTTAAATACTTCTAAATTGGCATTCCTCAAAATTAGGCAAATATCATAATTATATTTTTCTCAGTGCCTCTACCCATTTTTCACACCCACTTTCTGCTAGCCCAGCATCCTTGTTAAATTCATTAGTAAAACGTTGCACCTTCAGCGCAATTTCCAGTCAGAGATACAGAGATAGAGGGTCCACAGCCCAGAGCACACGTCTGTTTGGCCTGATGTTGCCACACAGTACACATGAAATTAAAACCCCACCACCCCACGAAAAACCCCCCCAAAAATCACCCACAACAAAAACAACAACAAGAAGAACAACATACCTACCATGAACGAGCAGACAACATGACATGATACCGATACTAAACTGACACTTTGACATGGACTTAACCCTAAAAACGCTTTGTTGGCTTTATTGGTGTCGGTTGCCCTGCTCTTTGGCCTCCATTTTCCCCATTTCCCCTATATATTTTTCGTACTGCTCCTGGAAATTTGGGAAGGGGGCTGCTATTATGCGTGTGGGGTCGAGGTACCAAGGTATCCACTTGATTTTTGCACTAATTTACGTGGATTAAGCGCTCGACGTGACTGTGTGACCTGGGTATTAAGCTTAAATACCTTTTAATTGACAATTTGTGTTTGGCCATTTGATGCCCGATTTTGTTTATTTATTGTGTGTGTGGGCAGGCTCATTAAATGTATTTAATAGGGAACAGCGAAAGGAAACCCCAATTAAT